GGAGGGACCCCCCTGAGGGTCTCGCCCCCCCCCCCGTCGCTGCCCCTGCCCTGGGCTGGAGATGGGGGGGGGAGCAGCCCCCTAACAGGGGGACAGACCCCAGGTCTCCCCGAATAACCCGTGGCTGGAGCCCCCCGAATCCGTTAATTTCAGCAGAAAAGGTGCCACAGACGAGTCTCTGAGCCCGACCGCCGGGCAGCCGTGGGGCCACTGTCCCTCTGCCCCACAGCACGAGCCGGGGGCAGCGGTGGCCACTCTGTGCCACGGGGGGGTCCCTCCCCATTCCCCTGCCCCCCCGTTATCACACCACATCCCCACCTCCCGCTGCGGCTCCTCGGAGCCCAATTAGCTGCCTTAGTTAACGAACGCAGGGCTGGGAACACTCTCCCCTCACTCTGACCCTCCGCACACACACCGCCCCCCCCGGGGGGTCTCTGGGGCCTCCCCGGTGACCCCCTCCCCCCGGAAAAGCCCCCCCTCTCCGGGTCTGTCCCAGCCGGGGCCTGTCCCTGCACCCCCTGCCCGGGGCCCTGCCCACAGCTGGACACAGCTGGGTCTGCCACCCGCAGGGGGGGCCTCACCATGTGTCCCACGTCCCCAAACAGCCCACCCTGGGTCCTGCGAGTCCCCCCGGGCACGCGGTGGCCAGGACTGGCCACACCAGGGAGCTGGAGCCGGGTCCATGGCCCCCACAGGGACCCCACATCGGTGTGTAGGGGGGACGCGGCACCGGCTACTCCAGGGTGTCCCCGGGGGGGATTTGGGATGGGGCTGGGGGTCCTGCTCTGCCCGCGCCGGCAGGGACGGCCCCGCAGAGCCAGGACCCACAGGGACCCACAGCCCGTTCGGTGCCGACGGCCACGGTGGGGAGAAACGGGCCCCCCAGGACCAACAACACCAGGCCCGGCCCCGGGAAGAGGCCCCTGCAGGAGGGACCGGTGACCCCGGGGCCGTACTCACCCTCACAGCTCGTTAGCGGCGAGGTGTTAACGAAGAGATGGTTTATTGGCACCAGGAACCCCTTTCCTGGCAGCCCCAGCCCCGGTGAGGAGTGGGGCAGCCCCACACCGGGGCTCAGCTGGGATGGACCCCCGGGGGGCACGGCCGTTCCTGCCCCGCTGCCCCCCGTGCCCCCCATGGCACGAACCGGGAGGCTCCCCACACCCACACACCGGGGGGGACACCCCCCGAGGCCGGCTCTCGGGGCGGGGGGGTCTGCTGCCCCACGGGGGGGGCCGGCGGCGTGTGGGGTCCCGGGGGGCACCGAGATGCTCCTTGTCCCGCGGGAGGGCTCAGGGTGGGGGGGCAGCCACGTTACGTGCCGGTGCCCGGAGCCCCCTGCGAGGGTCCCTCGGGGCCGGGAGCCGCCGGGGGGTCAGACCCGGCTCCGGACGCCCCACTCCC